TATCCCTACTTTACAGAGAGTAGACAGGGCCACCAGTCAGCCAGTGGAAGAGTTAGGACCCAAGCTGGCCAGCCTAACCCCCTGGGTCTATGCTTCTAACAACCGCATAGTGTGGTAGATTTGTCTTCAAATAAATCATGGCACCCTACATGAGGCAGTGGAAAGCAATGACTTCTTCCCACTGGAAACCCTTCTGTGAGGGGCAGGCTAAATGTAAATGACAAAATAAAGGATAAGTACATTTCTACTTGTACTTCTCAGGTTCCATTCAAACATCTCAGACAGTAGTCTCTCTGAGCATCTGACCAAAGCAAGGCATTCCTTTCATTTTTATTTGCTCTTCTGTCATTCAACTTGTGTTTTTTTTGAAGACTAAAAGTGTTAAAAAAAAAAAAAAAAAATCAGTTCAAGAAGAGATGATCAATTTCAATCAGTTCTAGGTTATTTACTGAGCAGAAGTCTGTTAGTGTATTTAAGGAGACAACAACTCTTTTCATCAACAATAAAAATGCATTACTTTGCTTCAAAATAAAGCTTTGAATTTTGAATAAGTTTCCTTTAATATATCATGTTTATTCTGAAAGCTCTTACAGGTGAGAGCTTTAGGATATTATTTGTTAATATCCTATTAACAAATTAATAGGATATCCATGTTAGGTAATCACAAATGTTTTAGAATTTATCCAACATCTGATGAGGGCTTGATATATGCAGGGGATAGCAGGAAGAGCCCTGAGAAGTTAAAAAAAAAACAATAACAATTTAAAATTAAGGCCTCTACCCTTAAGGATCTTATTTAATAGTGGCAGTAATGCTAACAGATAAATAAATGATTAAAAAATATGATCAGAATTGGCTTTGAGAGGAAGAGACTTCTGGCGGGAAATCAAGGAAGATTTCACGAAGGAAGTAGACCTTAGGTCCTAGCTCCATGAAGGTAGACCCTGTACCCTTTTTCTTGGTACCCTGGTTCTTAGCACAGTATCTGGCACATGCTAGATGTGTAGCTCAATGCTATTTAAATAAATGAGTAAGTTGAAATTAGATGGTAAGGTGTGAGAAGCAGAAATGAGGAAACATCTCCATCTAACCTCATTAAGCAAATCTCCATTGTCCATTTTCTCCGGGCCAGGCCTTGTGCCAGGCGGGGAGAGCAGCAGGGGTGAGAGCTTGGCTGCGGGACAGCTCGGGGTACAAAGTCCATCTGGGTGGAGGCATGACTGGGTGTGGGAAGGGAGTGGCAGATAAGGCTAGAAGAGTTGGAGCAGCATTTGAAAGATCTTGAATACTGAGGAGCTTAAGGAGAAAGATCTCCCAATATGTCATTATTTTTACTCGCATTAAGCAGATACAGGTTGATAGCTGACCATGTGCATTTTGTTACTATTACAGAAAATTAGTTCCTTAGACTTAATATCAATGTATTCATTTATAAGTGATAACATCATCTTGCAATATGCTAGAACCTGAGGTTGTTACTTGTTTCTATGTGTTTCTAAACCAAGTAAGCAGTCTAAAGCAGTAATGCTCATTTGTTTGTGAGTTAATTCTAAAATGATGCTTGGATATGTCAACCAAATTAATTCTGTTACAAAAGCTAATTTTTAAACATTCAAGGAATTTATGAATCTAGGAATCCCAAAGGGTTTTAATCCTAGCTTTTCCTTAAATTAGTTGTGGAATTTCAGGGCAAGTTGCTTAATTTATATACTGTGTATAAATACATATACATATACAATATTTGTAGGTCTGTATAGCTCTTTCTCTGTCCATGGTCTTTGTCATACATCTACATCTAGATAGCTATCACACTATATAAAGTGCAGTAGACAGAGCTGAAATTCCAGAGTTTAAATTCTGGAATCGATAATCTGGTTGGGGGCAACGTAATGTCACTTCCTAGCTGTATGGTGTCTTTAGGCAAATTGGTTGACTTTGAACCTTGATTTTTCTCACCTACAAAATGAGAAGAGTAATTCCCAGCTCATGATATCTGAGAAAATCATAAGAGCACAAACTTCTTATGAGCACTTGCTGTGTATTTTCCATGTGAGGAGACTGAGGTCTGGAAGATGAAGTAGCATATCCAGAGCCGCATAGCTACAGAGATCCAGCTTTCTGACTCCAAGCCTACCTGTTGGGCCACTCTGTTACTATTTTTAATTTTAATTTTTTGAGACAGGGTCTTGCTCTGTTACCCCGGCTGCAGTGCAGTGGCGCAATCATGACCTGCTGCAACCTCTGCCTCCTGGGTATGATCCTCCCACCTCAGGCTCCCAAGTGAAGTGGTGTCATTTTCTGGGGTAAATACCAAAGGTCTGTGATCTCAGAGCAGGGAAATAGAAAACCCGGACACGCAAAAAGTGAGTTTAAGAGCAGAGGTTTCCCTCCCTGTGTCCATTGGGGTCAGTTGGGGGGAAATAGGGGAGGGACGGTGGGGGGTGGGGAGCTGGGGAGAGATAGCAAGGGGAGAAATGCCAGATGTAGGTGATGAGGAGGAAGGCAGCAAATCACACTGCTACGTGTGTACCTATGCAACAATATTGCATGTTCTTCACATGTACCCCAAAACCTAAAATGCAATGAAATAAATAAATGGGGGGGGGAAGGAGCAGAGGTTTAATAGGCAAAAGAAAGAAAGAAGAATAGCTCTGTCTCCTGCAGAGAGAAGGGAGCGCCCAAGTGGGTCTTCAGGTTTCATGGTGAAATGCATGTGTTTTTTGTTTTGTTTTGGTTTGGTTTTGAGACAGAGTCTTGCTCTGTTGCCCAGGTGGGAGTGCGGTGGCTTGATCTTGGGCTCACTGCAACTCCGCCTCCCCGGTTCAAGCAATTATCCTGCCTCAACCTCCAAAGTAGCTGGGACTACATGTGTGCACCACCATGCTGGCTAATTTTAGTAGAGACAGGGTTTCACCATGTTAGGCTGGTCTCGAACTCCTGACCTCAGGCAATCCACCCCTATATCCTTGGTGATGCTTTATAAAGGATTGTTTCTTTATCTCCCAGTACATTAGAGAGGCTAGAATGAAATGGCATTTTTACCCTTTAAAGTTCAAATATAAGTTAAGCAAATGTAGGCTATGTAAAATTTTCAGGATGTAAATTTTTAGAGTGGTTAAAATGTTATGAATTTTTTTCCATGCTGGTGATATTAGTGGCATGTGTGTTCCATATAGAAAACCTTAGTTCAACCATTGTGGAAGACAGTGTGGTGATTCCTCAAGGACTTAGAAATAGAAATTCCATTTGACCCAGCAATCCCATTACTGGGTATATATCCAAAGAATTATAAATTGTTCTATTATAAAGACACATGCACACGTATGTTCATTGCGGCACTGTTTACAATAGCAAAGACCTGGAACCAACCCAAATGCCCATTGATGATAGACTGGACAAGGAAAATGTGGCACATGTACACCATGGAATACTATGCAGCCATAAAAAACAATAAGTTCATGTCCTTTGTAGGGACATGGATGAATGTGGAAACCATCATTCTCAGCAAACTGACATAAGAACAGAAAAGCAAACACCGCATGTTCTCACTCATAGGTGGGTGTTGAACAATGAGAACACATGGACACAGGGAGGGGAGCATCATACACTGAGGTCTGTTGGGGGGGAATAAGGGAGGGAGAATGGGGGGTAGGGAGGTTTGGGAGGGATAACAGGGGGAGAAATCCCATATATAGGTGACGGGGGGATGGAGGCAGCAAACCACATTGCCATGTATGTACCTATGCAACAATCCTGCCTGTTCTGCACATGTACCCCAGAACCTAAAGTGCAATAAAATATGTATACTAAAAAATATAAAATTAAAATATAAATAAAGTAGTAAAAAAAACCCTTTAAATAATAAAGAGTAAGATGATGAAATAAACCAAGATTATTCATAATCTCTAGAGATAAGAAAGTGATTGGAATTTTAGTGAAATAAATACATTTAAAAAATTTCCTTGACTTTCTTTTTTGGTGGTGGAGGGGACAGTCCAAACTTACAACAGGCAACAACACTGTTTTTCAGGACATGGGAAAATTTATCTCACACATTAAAATCAATTAGTCATGACATGTCTCAGGGTGAAAGTTATAATCTCTGTGAAATGGGAAGCCTTAAGGAGGAAAGGAAAAATAATATTGGACAGGAGAGAATGAGGACAGAGTTCAGATTTTTGTTTGATCTCTTCTGGAATAGTAAGAAGTACATTTTTTTCTTAGGTTTATTACATAGGTAATGATAATATCTGGAAGACCAAAAAGGTAGCTGGTGATGCCTTTGAAGAATTGTGAGCATTCCTGAGTTCTTTTCACTTAAGGAGACTCATATGTTTGTGGCTTTGAATCAAAATGTTTATATCTAGTTATGCTGGCATTTGCCAAAATACATTTTCTCCATCCATATAATAAGAGTGAAAACAATATTTTGCTGGCTGGGTGCAGTGGCTCATACCTGTAATCCCAGGACTGTGAGAGGCCAAGGCAGGTGGATCACCTGAGGTCAGGAGTTCAAGACCAGCCTGGCCAACATAGTGAAATCCTGTCTCTACTAAAAATACAAAGATTAGCCAGGCATAGTGATGTAATCCCAGCTACCTGGCTTGAACCCAAGAGGCGGAGGTTGCAGTGGGATGAGATTGCACTACTGCATCCATCCTGGATGACAGACTTAGACTCTGTCTTAAAAAAACAAACAAAAAAACACATATTGCCTATTATTTAATATGCTTAAATGAAGAAGATCATAACAGAGCAAAGCATGCGAGAAATGGAATTATCATGAGCATGTTTTGAGATGTTGGCTTGCATAGTACTATGGATGATGTGCATGAAGCTTCTAGAAGACTGGGCTGCTCCATACAGAGAAGAGCCTGGCCTTTTGGGGTATCATTTTACTAGGTTTATAACTGGATATCATACATTGATTCTTACTGATTGGAAAGACATGACTTTAACAGACTAGTAACTAACCACTTTTATCTCTGGCTTATTCACAGGAATTTGAATAAAGAAAACTATGATACCTCAGGTCCATCTTCACTCCCTGTGTCTTCTCATACTTTATTTGGTAAGTGAAATGGGTGTTCTTCTCTATTTATTTACTAGAATATTTTCTGCTACTTTATACCCCATACCAGGGAAACAATGGCTATTATTACTTTAAAAAGATGACCTATCAAAATTAAGTTGTTGTATAGAATGGAAACATAGCTTTTTCCACTGTGATATGTTTGATGAAATGGCTACAAATCACATGTCTGCCCTCAACTAGGGAATGTATTTTCTTTCCCACTCTTAAAAGCCAATACCAGTTACGGGTAAGGCTGAAAACAAATCTATCTATTTATGTATAGCTCGGGGAATCTGGAATGACATTGTACTGACACATGAATTAATCTGTGTCCCTTAATATTGACTTTCTTTAAAAAAAAAAAAACTTTGCCCATGAAAACTTACTGAAACATCAAGAAAAGTGTTTTCTCTATTTTCAGCCCTGCCCTGCTCTGTACTTTTCTTCTCATCAATAGTTTGGAGTTTTCTCGTTGTCTTTAACCATTTGTTAGGTTAACCCTGTTGACTGCCAGCCTTCTAGAGCTTGGAGCTGAATGAAAACTGGGGAGTCTTTACCCTTGACCTCGGGGTAAACAGAAGATGCCTTTTTTTTTTTTTTAACCTACATGACTCCTGAGGTTCACAAAAAGTGCCCAATAAATTGCTGTATTATGAAACAAGATTATAAGATTTAGGGGAAGCATTTGCTTTTTTTTTTTTTTTAAACAGGAAGCTTCTAGATCTTCATACCTCAAATCTTATTTTCTTTCTTCTGGGACCCATAAATAATACACTAAATTTTGAGTCCCAAAAAGTACCCTAGAGCTCACATAGTTACAGAGTGAAATAGAGCGAAACTTAAAACTATGAGAGCCTTCCTCCCAGGGGAAATCTGCCATTCAAACCTTATGAGAAGCATGAGTTTTCACAGCCTGGAGGGTCAGAGCCTGTCTCCAGAATTGTGTAAGGGCTGAATATCAGACATCCCCAGTTGACCTCTCTCCTCATCCTACCCCTCAAATGTCCTTCATCGCCTATGTTTATCCCAGGGTAGTGATAAAGTCAGACCTGTTTTCAAACTTGGTGCCTCCACTACCAGTAATAGGAATTTGGTGAGTTACCTAAGCTTTGAACGTCAGTTTTCTGTGAAATGCATCTAATAATAGTACTTGTCTTATGAGATGTTGTGGCAATTCAATGAGATACTGCATTTACAAGGCTCTTGGATCAGTGACTGGCAGTTAAAGACACAATAAACATTAGCTACTGTAATTGCTACAGCATTTTAAGTGTTTGGTGTCTACATCCATATGGACCCTGACCTCCATGAAGAATGGACTGTGTTTTTGTCATCTTTGCAGATTCAGCACCAAACACACTTCTAAATTATTTAATAATATCAAATTATTAGGCCTCATTTGCTTCTTGTCTGAGAAGGGAACATGCATTTTTATTCCTGGATGAAAGGTGAAGATAAGGCTTCCTTCTCTCTATTCTCAGCCCGGTGGGATTTCTATCTAGAGTGAAAAATACTGCCCAACCACTGCTGCCAGCAGCGCCTTCTCCAGGTGACAGCCGCAAGCACAACTGTCTCTGGGTGAAGATAGGGAGAGGGATTTCAGGGGTGTTGGGAGGGAGACACTTCTTTTTCCTACCACCTCCCAAGGCCTCTCCTATGAAGACTGGAAGTTTGCTTGAAGAAACTTGCCTTCCGCATAGGGCTTTATTCAACAGAGGCACTAATTTACTCCATACTGCAAGTAGATCTTCTGTTCTTTTCCAAGAGACAGATTCGTCAGAGGGTTGGAAACACAAATGCAGCATAGATGTACTTCAAGGGCACCAAAGACAGAGTAAGTGATCCAGGATTTGGGAAAGGGAACTGAAAAGGGAATCGGAGGAAACCAAGGCAGAGCTGTCTATTTTGGAGTTTTGCCTGGGACTTCCAGAAGGAAGATGAGTTTGGTGCAAATACTACATAATCATTGTACTGAGCGCTTGACGGAGCTAGCAGGTAGGTGAACCTGGCAACTGCACATGTTCTTCGGCCTGGAAGGCAGTGCAGCAATGTGGTCAAGAGTTGGGGATTGGTGGTCCAATGGTGCTGGCTCCCGTCTGGAGGTAGCTCTATCTCTGAATGCTTTGCCCCTACTGTGGGACTTCTCTGGAGACACTTTCTTGATAGCATTAGTCAGATGAAATGGTGTTATGTGGTGATCTAGTCCCGTTACTGCCACATAAAAGACACTAAAAGTGATTTTAAAATGGCAGTTCCATTCTCTTCCTTTCACCTCTTTGTGCAAGATGATAAATGCTATACCCTCCAACTCCTGCATAAAGCCACCCTCTTGTCCTTACACAAGTTTCCACCACACCATCCTTCCTACTTCTGGGGAATGCGGCTTGATGATTCACAGTGTGACATGCACTTTGAAATCTTTATAGCCCCAATAGCCATGTTAATCGGCAGGAAGAGAGATTTCTGGCTCCAATACAAGCAGGCGACTTTGAACCCTGGAACTGAGACTTGATTCCCATTTTCTGATGAGTGAGCCAGCTTGTCCTTGTTGGGAAAGTGCAGCCATGTTTGTGTGTGGCTAATGTAGTTTTCACTGGTGTGACTAACTCAAAGACCGGCTGCTTGCTGACATGAGTGCAAAGCTGATGAAGATAGTTTGCTGTTAAGCAGTGGTTCCATAGATAGCACTCCCCTGACTTAACCAACCACGGTGGTACCTGACCTCTGTCCTGCACACCGGTTCTTATGCCCTGCCTTCTAGAGGAGTAAATGGAACAGGAAAAGATGTGGAAAAAGTGAAAGGGAAGCAGAGCTTCCAAAGGAAGATAAACTTAGGAGGAGATGGGCCAGAAGTCTGGCAAAATTACTTTGTGAGTTAAGAATGCATTTTCTTGGCTGAGCATGGCAGCTCATGCCTGTAATCCAGCACTTTGGGAGGCCGAGGCAGGTGGATCACCTGAGGTCAGGAGTTGAAGACCAGCCTGGCCAACATGGTGAAACCCTGTCTCTACTAAAATATAAAAAATTAGCCAGGCGTGGTGACGGGCACCTGTAATCCCAGCTACTTGGGAGGCTGAGGTGGGAGAATCACTTGAACCTGGGAGGTGGAAGTTACAGTGATTGCACCCCAGCCTGGGCAAGAAGAGGTCGAAACTCCGTCTAAAAAAAAAAAAATCATTTTCTTGCAAGTAAGAGGAAATCTGACTTTAGAGCATTTTAAATAAATAAGGGTTTATTTTCCTTGGATAACATGAAGGCTGAAGTAGCAATCCCGGGCAGGTTTAGCAATTCCATGATGTTGTCAGAGACTTGAGCTACTTTCTCTTTGTTACAGCATTTTTTGAGCTGGTTTGTCCTATCAGGGTTCATCACAGCTGCCCCAACTGCAGACACAAGGTCCATTGTCTCAGCAGGAGCCACAGGAAAGGGCAATGGTAGCCACAACTGCCTTTTTTTGAAATTGGGAAAACAGAAGCTTAACCAGTGGACTTTGCCTCTCATTTCATGAACCAGAACTGGGCCATTTGGCCACCTTCCTAGCCGCTAGAGAGCTGGGAAAGGACCACTTGGTTTACCAGCCTCTGTGGTGGCAGGCAGCAAAGGAGAGGTCTTGGCAGTGGCCCAGGGGCAGCAAATCTTGGGCCCTACCCCAACTCTGGGGACAGAAAACCAAACTTCAAAGCCCCTGTGTTTTCATTCATTATTGCCCTTTTGCCAGATATCCAGCATCCAACTTAGTCAAGATTCCCCAAACTGAGGGGTCCAGCATAAGACCTTTCTCTGATCCTTGGCATATTGATAAGTTTTGGATATTCCCAGCAGGGAGCAGTTTTCATGTCAAGAGTGTGCTTGCTCTCCCTAAATAACTGGAAAATAAATGGTTTTCCCCCAACCTAGTGGCACCTGGACATCTGTCCTGCACACCCAGTTCATTGGCTTGCCACATTGTGCTTCTGATTTCAATTTCTTTCACCCTGGATTTCCACCATAAATGGGAGACCCAAAGACTTGCGCAGGAAGGAGAGAAGACCAGTGTGGGGATGAGGCACTAAATCCCTTGTCCTAGAGGGTGCCCCAAGGTGGGTTCATGACTGACTGCCCCTTCATGCAGGTGACCACTCCACCTGCCTTCAGAGGTGCTGCTGTGGTGAGGGCTGCAGTGATGCTCCCCATGTTCTCAGACTAGGAATGGTGGAAGTCGCACTCTCATGCGCATCCTCAGTGCAGCCTGCTGGCTTTTCCTCCAGGATGTCTTGGCTGTTTCACATCCTCTGGTGGCTGCTGGTGCATGGAGGCTGAGAGGGCTGATTCCAGAGTTGCAGGTTCAAATCCTGCTTCCTGCCACTACCTGGGCAAATAATTTAACCTCTTTGAGTCTCTGTCTCATCACCTGTAAAACAAGGGTAACAATAGTAATTTCCTCCCGGAGGGTTGTTGTCAGGATTAAATGTGCTTAGTACAGAGCTTCACATGTACTAACGTAGCAAGTGTGAGCCACTTTTCTTACCATCCCAGCCACACTCACTACGACTCCAGCCTTGACTTGGGTGTCTGCAGAGGCTGCTTGGCTCTCAGGTTTAGGGTCTTTGGATTTTAGAACCATTGTGGGGCTGCTGCTTAAAGTAAACATTTTGTTCTTTTATTATTTCTGTTCTAAATGAATGTAAAGAGCTAATCAAATGTTAAAATAGTGAGCTTTGCTTATAGTTCAAATTCAGATTCAAATTTGGCTAAAACTTACTGTGTAACTGTGCCAACAAACTTTGTACTAAATAGATCTATATATTCTTTCTCCTCCGTATAAATTCAAAACTTTAGAGTGCTAGCAATCTGCTGCAAATGTCCTTATAAGATAAAAAGAGCGGAGGGAGGTGTTTTATGAAGCTGGAGTAAAAACATATAGAATTTAGAAGACTGTGGCACTGTGCAAGACCATGAGCTTTAGCTCAGGCCTGAGTGTGTGTGCTGTGTTAGCCTTTTTAAATTCCATTTTGAATATGGGGATGTTAATATTCTTCTCATAGGGTGATTCTTCTCATCTCTTATTCTTCTCAGATGTTTAAGAAAAGCAATGCAAAGATTTGTAACGAGCTACTTTGTTTGACATGGTAGAGCGTCAGCAGCTTTCACGCTCGTTTCTGCTTTGATCGGATTTCGGTTATGATAGAATTCTATGTTTCATATATTGGTGCTGGAAGCCCTAATAAAATCAACAATGACACAGACACAATCATACAAGATGCTAATTTTCTTTCTTTTTTTTAACAGACAACTGGATACAGCCAAGAAGGGAAGTTTAGTGGACCCCTGAAGCCCATGACATTTTCTATTTTTGAAGGTCAAGAACCGAGTCAAATTATATTCCAGGTAAAAGCTACCCTTGATCACTGTCCTCTTGATTTTGTGTGCTCTCTTGATGGACTTTTACTCCCTTATCTATTGTACAGCAGGAAGTAAAATAAAGGCATGGCATTCTCATTATCAAGAATGATTTCAGAAGCTAAGTTAAACAGAGAGATGAGTGGCCTCAGTATCATAAGAATTGTACATGCCATTCTCATTTGGACTTCCTCAATCATCTCTGGGGCGAAGTCTCCCATCCCTCTGCAGAGAGCTTGGTGCCTGTAGGCTCTGCCTCTCCCCTAGAGTAGAAAGGAAACCCGTCTCTGGAGAGGGGAATGACCATCCCCACTCTGGGTTGTCTGATCAATGAGCTTACTGCTTGAGGTGTTGGAAGATGTGGCTTCTCTGGAGTCAGCACTGGAATGAGCTTTCCTACCAGAGGAACTGCCTTTTCCTCACTGCCTTCTTTGAGCCCCCACCTGGGCCATTGCCAAGGTGTGCTGGGAGGCGGGTGTCTTGTTTAGTTAGAAAACCATGAACAGTATCAGATGGAGGGGTGGTCTGCAGGTGAGAGTAAGGGGAGGGTCCTAAGTCCCCTCAGAGGTGCTATTAAGGACACATAAATAATCTTGGAAATGTAGTAGAGAAAGAGAAGGATACTACTGTATTTACCAGACTTCCCCCTGGAAGGCCTCTTGGCCCTGAAGTGATTGGAGGTTGCTGATGAGCCTCTTTGGGGTGCCCATGACCCCTCCTCATCCCATGAACCAGGGAAGTGGCAGAGGTTGCTGAACTACCTTCTAAGGCAGGTGCCTTCCATTAACTGCCAAACATTTACAGATAGCCCTCTGTATCTCTGGGTTCATGCATCAGCAAATTCAACTGACAGAATCAAAAATATTTGGGAAAAATAAAAATAATACAAATTTTAAAATAATCATTTACATAGCACTTACATTGTATTATAAATAATCTAGAGATGGTTTAATGTACATGGGAGGATGTGTATAGGTTCCATAACCATAATACACCACTTTATATAAGGGCCTTCAGCATCTGTAGATTTTGGTATCTGTTTGGGTCCAGGAATGATCCCCCACAGATGCCAAGGGACAAATGTATTGTGCTGGACAGTTCCCCTCCACAGAGGAGAGGCTGAAAGCTGTCTCTCCTCCCCTTTCTTTCATTGGTACCAGCTTAGTGTAAAGGGCCCCAGAGTAAGAGCTGGCAGGGGCACGCATACATGTCTATGCAGCCTGGTGGGGTAGGGTGTTGTAAGGGGCCTCAACCTCTCCAGGCAGACAAGTCAGGGCCTGAGGAAGCAGTGAATATGTTGAGAGTTGGAAGTTGACAGGAATTAACTTGGTGAGGAAGGGAGGGAAGAGAGCTTAGCAAAGGCCCAGCAGGGATGGCTACCCTCTGCCAGGGGAGGGCAGGGGACATACTAAAGACTGGCAGATGGCCATGCAGCTGGGGAGGATGGAGCCAGGAGGAGCAGGTGGGAGACACAGAGGAGGAGGCCACAGAGACAGGGAGGACCCTGACTCCTAGGAATCTTGGGCTTTTCTCAAAAGCAACGGATCTGAATCAAGATCCCATGAGAAAAGGTCACTGTCTACAAACTAGAGGAGGAAAGAAAGGATTCAAGGAACCTGTTAGGAGACTCTGGCAGGGGGTCACACAGAGTTGAGTTGCTTACTTTCTCACACACACTTTCTTTTATTAACCATGTACAGAGTGACTACTGTATCTCCCAGGTGCTCTGCTGGGTACTGGGGATATGGGATGACCCTGACTCTATCCCTGTCCCAGTGAGCTTACCAGCTGGTAAGAGAAAACTAACAAGGAAACAGACACATGCACTGAAGGTTCTCATAGGAGTCCGGTGGGATGTGGAGTGGGCAGAGGGTACGCGAAGAAAGAGTGGCTGATTTTTATTTGTTTGTGTTTACTTTTTAATTGATAACATTGCATATATGTGTACAATGTATTTTGAAGCATATGTAGAGAGAAATGACTAAATCAAACTAATTAACATATGCATTATCTTATCTCTTTTGTGGTGAGAACACTTAAAATCTAAAAATAATCAGTTTCAAACAAAGATGGTAGTGAGTAAATAGAAGAGGTTTCACTGACTCCTAAACTGAGTATTCAAAGATGAGCAGGTGCTCACAGTCAGGAAGCACCTACTGAGTAAAGGATAGGAAAAAGCCTGGGGGTGTGCACTTGTCAAGAAAATGACAGATGGCATGTGGCCCAGAGTCTAGGGAGGGAGACAGTATGCAGTCAAAGGTCTGCATGCCTGCTGAGGTCAGCATGGGCTGGACTGGTCCTTTGTCCTACAGCAGGCTGCAGGGTGCTGCTGGAGGATTTCAACAGGGAAAACCATAACTAGATAAGTGCTGTAGAAGCTTACTGTGTGATCACTCTGCATGAGCTGAAAGGGGGTGAGTGTAGAGGTTAAAAGGATCTTAGAAAACTATTTTCAATTGTAGAGAGCCAGAGTAGCCCACCCCCTCTGGGGGACTCCACAGCAAGGCTGCTGCGAACTTTGGGTGAACTCGAGAAGCGAAACCGTAATAGGGAAACGTGTATGTCTCGGAGAAAATCAGAGAGGCCTAGAAAAAGATAACCAGCCCTCACTGACCTTGCTGCAAGATAGTTGGTAGCTGAAGTATGTTAAAGTGTGAGAATTATACCACAGGCTGTTCTAAGTAACTGCACCCTTCCTCTGCTATGTGCTTTGTAAACATGTAAAATAAAGTACTCTAAGGCAGGTCAGGGCCAAAGAGACTGACACCATCAGCTTTTTGGACCGCCTGGCCCAGCTTTATATATGTCTGTCTGTATGTCTTTCTTTATCCCCTGCTGTTCCCTCTTAGGTCTTTGAACCCTTGTGCAGCACGGGACGCAGCACATGCCAGATTCAATAGTTCAATAAGAAGTGATAGAGTCCTGGTTAGAGTAGCTTATAGAGGTCTGAATGTTGGTGTTCCCACGAAGTTCCTATGTTGAAGCCTAATCTCCAATGTATAAATGTGAAGAGTTAGGGTCCTTGGTAGGTGATTAGATCATGAGGGCTCTGCCTTTATGAACAGGATTAGTGACCTTGTAAAAAAGGCTTGGGGGAGCCTGTTTGCCCCTTCTGGTATGAAAGGTGCAATCTGTGAGGAGTGGGTCCTCACTGAATCTGCTGGTGCCTTGATCTTGGATTTCCCAGCTTTCAGAACTATGAGTGATAAACTTCTGTTGTTCATAAGTTACTGACAGGGGTGAGGGAACAGAAAGTAAGATAACTCTTAGGTCTCTGGCCTCCTTGACTGGGTAGTTAATGGTGTCACTGAGTAAGAGAGAGACAGAGTATAGCAAAAGATTTAGAGAAAAGTGAATAAATTTTAGGCTTATTGATTTTAAGTTAACTATGAGGCAGCCATGAGGAGATGTCTAGGAGACAGTGTTCATATTGGCCTAGAGATACAGATCAGGGAGACTTCCTCATATAGGTGCCAATAGTGTTCTTGGGTGTGACATAGATTCTTGTCTGTGTTGAGTTATTGCAACTGCCCTTAGGGGCTAGCTGAGTGATGAATGAAGCCATCTGGAGAAAAGAAAAACAACAGCCAAACAACAACAACAACAAAAAACAGATATGAGATAAAAACCTAACTGCACAAATATATCAAAAGCTTTCTGATACTTGTCTTTCATATTTGGGACAAGAGGGAGTAGTGGGGACTGTGGCAAACTGAGAGTAAGTCAAAAGGGGATGGGCTCAATTTGGCTCCAGACAATTTTCACAAGTCAGAATTTGGGTTCCACTGTATTAGATTTTATTTTAAAAAGGCATAAGATTTTGTATTTATATAAAATTCACTGATGTAAAAAAAATTGGCATTTCTTTTTATTACAAGCTAAACAAAACATATTTGTGAAACAAAGTTTGTGGCTACTTCTGAGAGTTCCGTATGAAAAGACTCAAGGTCAAAATAGAGTAGGTGTTCTGTGAGTTCAGGTCCACACTCCATTGAAGGGAACCAGGATTGTACATAGATGCAACCTTCAACTTACAAGCTTTACAACTGACAAATATGCAGACCTAGAAACTGTTCATTAGGATCATTCCAGAGTCTCTGGGGATATCAGTCAGTAAAAATCATTCCTTGGGCTGCTCCATGTTTTGTTTGTTTGTTTGTTTTTGTTTTGTTTTGTTTTTTCCTGTTAGCCATGCTACAAAGTTATCTTTTCTGGCAGAAAATGATAGCCTGGTTATCAAGGTTGAATGTTTCTTCTTTATAGGTGTGTGTGTGTGTATGTTGGGGTAGGACGTGGGGTTGGGATGAAAGAGTAGTGAGTAGAAGATGAAGGGAATTTTCTTTTTAGAATCACAGAAGCTTCATACTAGAAAAGACACTGGAGAGTTTTGGTACCAACCACTTGTTTTACACATGGGGAAACTGAGGCTTAAGTTGGTTAATGGCAGAGCCAAGAATAGAATACAGGTCTCCTGACTTCTAGTCAAGCATTCTCTGATCTCTCCGTCTTTGTATGTGGAAATAGTGAGCAAACCCATCCTTGGTAAGATGTGGTTGAAGCTCTTTGTTTTAGTGGTGGGGAAAAGGTAGCTGTACAAATCCTCTCATCCAGCACCTGGACCTACATAGGCATGAAAAATATTCATTGACCCATGAGGTTGATTGTTGGGTTATTAATATATCCTCAAAAATAAAATGAACAGAACAACCATGGACTTCTGTCATTGAGGATTTTCAACTAGTGCCAGCTGTGTACTCACCAGAGGCTTCCAGATCATCAGACAGTGTGATACAAATCTGAGAGAGGTCTTTTCTCATTTTTAATGAGATATAGCCCACATATCACAAAATTGATGCTTCTAAAATTCAGTAGTTTTTAGTATCTTAAAAGATGTGCAACCATCACTGCTATCTAATTCCAGAATATTTCCATCCGCCTCCAAAGAAATCCCATGCCTATTAGCAGTCACCCTCCAGCCTCCATTCACC